TAAAGTGGGGGTCTGCAAGGTCTAAGGGGCCGGGGTGTGTCCCCCCCCCCCAGACACGAGTACACTTACGTTGATGGTCAGAGGCTTCGGGAAGGTGACTTCGATGACGTAGACACCGGGGCGGCCCCCCTCAGTCTTCCCATCCCCCACCTGGAGTGGTACCGCTGCTCGTACCGTACACGGGGCTGAATCCTGAGCCATGACACCGGAGGAGGGGTCAGAGATTAAAGGGTCACTCCACCTAAAGATCTGAATGGAGCTCCCAGGGCTTCGCCTATATCCTGGCTGTGAGCTATGAGCAGAGGAGGACTGGGGGAGACCTCCAGACACCTGTACATGTGGAGGAGGCTGCTGTGTCCATGCAGGATGGCCCCTGCTGGGCGGAACTGACCTCTTGTAGTGAATATGGCGATATGTGGGGCTGATCTCCGACTCACCTCATTCATTCCTCACCTGCCCTTATCCAACATGGCGGCTGCATACTCCACTCCTGCTTTTCTCACTACGCCTGCCCTCATCCAATATGCCCGCAAGAGGTCACCTGATTCGGCGTCTCTTCGTTTCCATGGGGATAATAGAGCAGCTGACTTACGTGCCTTGTCACATGATCGAGCATGCAGCCCCGCCTACAGGCAGGTGCCAGACGGAAATGCTGACCGGGGGCGTGGCCAGTCTTGGCAGACAGTGTCAGTCATGGCGGCAGTGCAGGTGAGAGTTTGGGGGTGGCGAACTACAATTCTCAGCATGGCTGCGGGGGGCAGGGAATGTGTGTCAGGGTGGAGAATACCCCCTCCATGTAGCTGGGAGACCTTTGTTATTGTTATCTCCAGCCTTGTCTGGACACAAGTCGGCCTTGCTGACCCCATAGAGAGTTGAGTACTGTAACTGGCAGGCTGTGTGCTCTCTGCTGATTGGCAGCTGTCAAAGCTCCTGGTGAGTGTAGAAGGGGATCTAGTGTGCTCTTTTGCTGCCCCTGTAGGGGATTTGGTGAGCGGCCCTCCATTGGTCAGTCCGCTCCGGAGTAAGATGGCCGATCTGCGTGCATTGTTGACACGCTCGGGCAGCTCCACCTGCTGTGCCTCAGGTAGATTACCTCTGGAGAAGGGAGACTCCTGCACAGGCCTCCTCCACATAGAATGGGGGTTTCTGGGTATTGTGTGTCTGGGGGGGAGGGGGAGGGCAGTTCTGGGCAGAGGGGCAACTAATCTCCTGTCTTTGTTTCAGCTCATCAGAAAACCGAAAGAAGTCTCCGCCCTCTACCGGGACCTCAGCCAGTTCCCCTCCCTGAGCGGAGTCTCTATAGGGCCCGAGGTCACCACCCAGTACGGGGGCAAATACAGCAACATCTACACAGGTGAGGGGGGTTATATATCTGTGTC